CAGCAGCAGCAGCAGCAGCAGCAGCAGCAGCAGCAGCAGCAGCAGCAGCGGCGGCACACGCCTTTAATCCCAGTACTCGGGAGGCAGAGGCAGGCAGATCTCTGTGAGTTCGAGGCCAGCCTGGGCTACAGAGTGAGATCCAGGACAGGCACCAAAACTACACAGAGAAACCCTGTCTCGAAAAACCAAAAAATAAAAAAACCAGGAGGAGGCATCGGTGGATGGACGTTAAGGCTCAGCAGTGGTGGGGAGTCACGGTGTGCACGCTGCCCGTGGCAATGGTTCCCTGTCTTAAGTATCCTTAGCGAGGTGCTCTCGTTACCTCCCATTTTCCTTTCTTCCCCTCCAGCCTTCGGCATGGACAGTGGAGTTGGCTCTCCTCACACCACCTGGCCTCTTTCTTAGGTGCCCGCGCCTGTCTCTGGCTTTTGACCCTTTCCTTCTCTCTCTGTCACAAGCCACCATTCTGACGTGTGTGCGAGCTCTTCAAAGTCTGGGTTGTTTTGTATGTGATTAGTTTTGTTTTGAGACAAGGCCTCACTGTGCTGCTCAGGATAGCCTTGAACTCCTGGACTTAAGCACTTTCCCTCAGCAGTTCTGACAGAGGTGTCACTGCCTTCAACTGGGGTGTGTGTGTGTGTGTTTGAGTGTATAGGCATTGTGGTGTCTTCTTCTTTCTTTTTCCCTTGGCAATAGTCTGCTAAGTGCTTAGGAAGTTTTGGGACAGTTTTTAATTTCTTTTTTTTCCTCATAATATTTTTATTGATTATTTGGGAATTTCACATCATGAACCCCAATCACACTTACTTACCAGTCCTCCTAGGTCCATACATCCAACTTTGTAAACCCCCTCCCCCCAAAAGAAGAAGAAAAAGCAAAAAAAAAAAAAAGTCTAATTTGTGTTGCCCATCTACTGGAGCATGGTCAAACTCCTGGTGCTCAGCCCTTCCTCCCCCTCCTCCCACCCGACACCATCCGTTGTGGAGAGCTGCATGTCAGCATCCTTGTCACACTTTTTAAGGTGCTCGTCAAGGCTTCCTGTCTAGGCTGTTACTTTTTGTGGAGAGGGGTTCTGGTGTGGTGGGGCAAGGGTTGTCACAGAAGCCTTCTATGTTGGTCCCTCTCTCTCAGCTGTGAGTCAGATCACTGCAGGAGTAGGCCCCTTGCCCTTTACAGTCAGCAGGAGCGCCGGCACGGAGTTTTTAATTTCCCTAATGTCTTTTTAGAGTGCTGGATACGGAACCACTAGCCTTGCACATGCCACTCGACCACTGAGCCACATCCCCCAGACCCACCCCCTCCTCTTTCAAGCCTTCAGCTGCCCGTGTTCCAAGTCAGTGTCTGGCACTTCCGTCCTTTGCCATGACTTCATGCTGAGTTGTTTCTGTTACTCTGGTTGGCACACCACTGCCCTTCCTTGGCGTCATGTTGCGTCTGCACAGTGCGATTTGACCGTAGACGAGAGGCTTCACCTCCCAGAAGTGGTGTTTGAGTACTTTGTACCCTCCTTTGGTGTGGGGACATCTGATACACACACAGGTGTCTTAGATGTAGACTGAGCAAACGGGCAGTACCTGTCTGTGCGTGCAGGGCTTTTCTCTGAGTGCTAGTGAAGACAGTGACACTGGTGTGCTCTGCTTCAGGTGCCGTCGTGACCATCACCACACCTGTAAACATGAACGTGGACAGCCTCCAGTCCCTGTCCTCAGACGGGGCCACCCTGGCTGTACAGCAGGTCATGATGGCGGGCCAGAGTGAAGACGAGTCGGTGGACAGCACAGAAGATGACGGAGGTGCCCTGGCGCCCACGCACATCGGCGGGCTGGTGCTGGAGAACAGCGACTCTCTGCAGTAGCCGGTCAGCAGGGCCAGCGCGGAGCCGGAGCCCCTGACTCTTGACTGTTTGCCCAGCAAACATTTTACACAGTTTTCTTTGTAATATGTTTTATATGTAGATATAGAAGAGTGCACTTTTGTATTTCACAGCAAGCTTCAAGATGTCTTCGCTGGTGCAGCAACTTCCTTCCGATGTGCGTGTGTGGGTTTTTAATGCCGGAAACGTGAGGAGTGGCCCTGCCCCTGAGTCCCTGACGAGATTAAGGAACAGTGCTGCCATTTTCTAAACAATTATGCAGTTGCAATTGAGTTCTGTGGTTTACAGCAGATCTGGGGCTGCTGCTTGTGCGGCCCACAGGTCTGAAAGATGATCTGCACTTGGGCTGCAGGGCAAGAGGACGCTGGCCCTGGTGGGCTGTGAGTGCCCGCGACACACTGCGTTCTCTCTGGGCACCATTGCCTGCTTCATTTGCTATATAGAAAAAGAAACTCCTATTTTTACCTTGCTGGGATTATTGGATAAAAAGCTATTTTTATAAATCAGTTATTAATTGGATTATGACTATATTGAGGATAAATTTCTAGAGAAGGAACAGCACATGCTTGTCTTTCGATTTGGGATGTTCTGAAAGGCAGCTGCCCATGCGCGGTCTCCTCGTCCCCGGGAGGAGGCTCGCCATAACTGCTAAAAGGAAACAACCGCCAAGTGAACTTTTGATATCTCCAGTTTGTGTTCCTCTGTGATGCTCAGATTGCATCTTACACTTGCTCTAGGCATCTTACAGAGTGTACTCAGTAGGATGTGTGGTGAGTGAGGGCCGACGCCATGCAGTGCCCTTAGTGTGCCATAGCTCTCTGCCATGCCTAGTCCAGCCTAATTCAAACCTGACTGCAGTTACATGGCTGCCCAGCCATGGTAACTGGGTGGTAATTTTAGTTGTTGGTTTTTTGTTTTTCATTTTTTTAGTTAAAACATGTTATACATAGAATGTTTATTATAAACTAATATAAATGTGCTCTACCCCACTGGCTCAGAGCTGGGGTAAATATCAAACACCCAAACTGTCCTACATAATGGGCAGACATCTGGAAGTTAGAACCATGGAGGTATCGTTTCAGTGGATCCACTGTTGGCTCACAGGCGTCCATGGCTCTCTGGCTGTCACACACTCTGGTTGCATGTTGCTGCTTTCATTTCCAGGGTCCTTCCCTTCCAGTTACCACTCACGATTTAGGACAGTTTGGGGACTTCATTTCCTGGCGTCATGACAGAGCAGGCTGAGGTTTGGGGCTTTGCTTTTGGTTTACTTGGGAGGCTTTTTCTCCGAACACAAGTTCCCTGCTTCGTGTTGAGTAGCTGTATTGTCACAGACGGTACCTAAGCCCACCTGCTGATGGACAGCTAGGCAGATGTCAAGGGTGCCATGCCTTGGGACCCAAGGGTAGTGATTGGTTATGGACCAAGGTTACCTAGAGGGACATCTTTAGCTAATTCACATTTTTTTTCTGCAACGGTTCACCGCCCTCCTCCCCCAAATGTCTTGGTTCCGTTTAGTCATGGAGCACACTTGGACAGCCAAGAAGTCAACAAGAAAAACAGGCTCTCCTTTCAAACCATGTAAGGAGCCTGCACTACAAAAAACAAAACAACAAAATAAAATAAACAAAACCCAAAGACTTGCCAGCAACTCTTTTGAGGAGAGAATAATATTTTAAGCAGTCTTTCCATTACTTACTCACAAATTGTTTTCATGTTTTAAGTCAGGTATCTAAAAGCCTGAAAGACTGGCTATGTTGGGTTTAGAGTAGAAATGCATCGGCCTGTGAGCTCCTGCAGAGGTCTGCCACTCTCCCCAAAGGAAACATAGTCCCTGCTGTCCCCCTGTGGGCCAGCTGGTGGCTGCTCTAGCTGGGATTTGAACACAGTGATGCCGCATGTCCTTTCCAGTTGAGATCAGCTTTCCTAAGCCCTGAACTCTCACCTGCTAAATTCAGAGGGATAGCATGAAGATCATAAGAGAACCTGGGTGTGGTGGCACACTCCTGTAATCCCAATGCTCAGGAACTTGAGACAGGAGGGAAGCCTGGGCTACATAACCTGACCCTGTCTAAAAAAAAAGATTGTAAGAGAGCTGGCACAGGGTCCTAGCCTGAGTTCCTGTCCCCTCCCATGCATACTTCGACGCTTTTAAGTAGCTCCCGTGAGGCAAGCCGTTCTGTTTTTCACAACGACTGCCCAGCATATTTGTTGTCGTCAGTTGCACCTTGAAGACACTTGCTGCTGACTGGGCACTGTGGCATGTGCCTGGAATACAAGCACTTAGGAAGCTGAAGCAGGAGGATCGCTGCAAGGCTGGCATCAGTCTCTGGTGCGTAGTGAAACCCTGTCTCAAAAACCCAAGCAAAACTCCTGCTCTCCTTTCCTTGGCCTGTGGAGAAAATCTGAAAGTACATCTCCTTTGAGCTTTGTTTAAATGGTCAGATTCCAGCTTTCGTTCCTAGTAAAATCCTCCCTAACATTGGAGCCTTTTGAATGTGTTCTGAGACCTACAGGCAACCCATGTCATTCCTGCTGTTTGGCTGCCTAGCAGAAATCTAGACTGGCTGACCGCCCATCTGGTGGGCTCGGTTTTCTCCTTTTTGAGTCCAGATTGTCAAATGGAAGTGTATATGCAATATGCACTGTGACCCTCTGGCTAAGGCTGGTGGGCCGCTGTGTAGCCTGCTGAGTGCCCCTGTTGGAGCAGTCGGAGCCTCCTTGCTCTGCTCTGCATGGCTCCCTCACCCTGGCAGGGAACACCTACCCATCCTGAAGGCTTCTCCTGCAGGGAGCGACAGAACTCGGCAGTCTGCCTTTTTCAGTTAAGTTTGGTCTTTGAAACTGACAATCTTTAAAATGTGAATACTGTAACAATATGTTTTCTCGGATTGTTGTCTTTAAAAGGATTTTTTGTGAAGCAATTGATTTATCAAAGAAAAAAATTAAAAACAAAAACATGCCTTGTGGGTGACTGATTCTGTCCAGCTTGTGCCACCAAGCTGCTTTTTCACGGTAAGTGAGGTTTTCCCATGGTCACACATCTTGCAGTGACACCCAACTCCCTGGGGACCAGCTGGCACTGTACCAGCTGCTGAGCCTCATTCACACCTCCCAGGGTCTGGGCTTCGGTTAGTCATTTTTCAGGAAAAAAAAAATTGCAAAACACTTTTCATTGTTATTTTTCATAAATGCAATTGCTTTGATGTAACAAGAAAAGAGTGACTCCGTGGTCCACACTGGAAAACCCCCTGTGAGGCGGATCCTGAGCACATCCAAGGTGCACAGGAAATTGTCTAGGTGTTGTAGGTACACACACACACACACACACACACACACACACACACACACACACACACAGCTTGTGCTTGGAGCTGTGGATCAGAGTGTTTTTTCCTTGGAGGTGTGTGAAAGGGTTGGGGATGGAGCTTGGTAGACGCCTGCCTGGCGTGAACAGAGCCCTGAGTTCAATGTCCAGCACCCCGTAAATGTGGCACGGACAGACACCCTCATCATCCTGGCAGCTGGGAGTAGAAGGTCAGAAAATCGGAAGTTTAAGCTCAAATTGAGCTGCATCATAGGTCTGAGATAGGAGAGACCTTGTCTAAAAAGACAAAAATAACATTCTGACTTTCAGAAGGTGGAGGTGTGTCATTGTTGAGCTCTGCTGTGTAAGGTGGACAGATGACCTCAGGCCACCAACAACCAGGACTTCATTGGTGAGACGGGAGAATTTGGTTCATAGGTTTGGTGTATCAAGCTCTGAAATGATGTTGTGGCTAACAAGATTAAACACCCCTATTTAGACAGAGACAAGCAGATTAACAGTGGCCTAGCAGAATAACTGCACATAGGTGGTACGTTTGGATTAAAAGCTTGGGGCTTTTGCATTTTGTTGATTTATACAATGTTTAGCGTGCAAGTCTTTCTGTGGACTCCAAGAGGAAGCCTTGGTTCATAGTTTTTCTTTTTTGTCCTTGTACAATTAGATCTTCAACCTTCACTGGATCCTATGATCTTCCATTTTTCAGACCTAAATGTTGCCAAGTGTAGTGGATTGTGCTGATAATCCCAGTATTTAGGATGCTGAGGCAGGAGGGTTTCAAGTCCAAAGACAGCCTGGGTGACATAGCCTGTCTCCAAACCAGAAACAAACCTAAAGACCTCTGCAGCTGTGGTATCTGAGTACATCTGCCTGAGGATTTTCATAGGTAAACAGCGAGCTCTCCTCTGCAGAGGGCCCTCTCATGGGGCATCACCAGAGAAGACTTCGAGGACGTGGGCTTAAGTCAGCACAAAGTTTATTAGCTGGCCTGGTGGACTACACTGGGTGCTCGGGATCCCAGTGTGGCCCAGAGCCTTTCTCAGGGTGAGCTTTTAAACACAAAAACCATGGCATGCTTCAGTTAACAAGAACAGTTAGCCAGAAGTGGAACTCAGAAGCCAAAAAACAAGGTTGGCACGTCTGCTGACTTTCTCAGAACTACGGACTTCGATGGATGAAGTCTTGGTTTTCATTTTGGTGGGTGCTGCTGCTATATGTGGAATTTTATAGCCTAAAGGGTACTTCCATCATGGAGTCAGTTGTGCTAAGGGCTCTGTTATACTCTTCCCTCCCAGTCTCTTCCTGCTTGGCCTTCAGTGTTCTGGAAGGCCGGTGTGGCCTGAGCTCAAGGGGTCATCTGGTGAGTGCTTCATAGGCAAGCAGCATTTAGAATGGTTGTGTGTGCCAGTGATGCCGTCCTGTGTTCTGTTGTTGGAACCCAAGACTTGGCCATGTAAGAACAGCAATGGTGTTAATATAAATTGGGAATCCTTTCATCTCATACTTGGACAGTTTTTAATTATTTTATGTGTATGGGTATTTTGCCTGCATGTATGGCCTGATGCCAATGGAGGCCAGGAGAGGGCCTTGAATCCCCCTGGAACTGGTGTTACAGGTAGTTCTATGCCACCATGTAGCTACTGGTGATGGTCCTGAAGAGCAGCCAGTGCTCTTAACCACTGAACTGCATCTTCAGTCCCTGTAAAGGACAGCTTTAATGGCAGTGATGGCTTTCGGTTTCTCCCTTGCCTTTGGCAGGACTGGAATGGGGACATAGGAAAAGGGGGACACAGGAAATGGAGCTGGCCAGCCAGGTCCTGAGACCCAGGTCACCCCTTAGGTCAGACCCGGGCATACATGGCTGGGACCTGTGTGAAGGACCCCCTGTTCCTGCAGGGCTGGCTGTGTGCAGCAGATGACTCCCACACCTGAGGGTGGCTAGTGCTCTGCTTCCATGGTGCATCCTTTGAACCTCCAGCTGGCCTCGTCACTGTGGGCTTGGTGTCTGCGCATCCCCCCTCTTCATATCCATATACCTGGTTTCCAGTTTGCCCTTCCACATTCCATCTTTCACATGCCGACGTGCTCACTCTCTACCAACTCTCAACTCCAGCACTGTTTACCTTCCTCTGAGGATGGACCTTTATCCCCAGCCCCTTTAGTGGCAGTCAGGAAAACATTTGGGGAGTCAGTTCTCTTCTGCCATTTGGGTTCCAGGAATGGAACTCAGTTCACCAGGCTTAGCAGCAAGTGCCTTCACTTGCCGAACCATCCATCACGCTGGCCTGGGTACTTCTAAAAGTGTTTGAATATATATTTGAAACAAGTCTTGACACGTGGCTCAAGTTAGCCTCCAAACTGGCAGCCCTGCCTCAGCCTCCTGAGTCTGGGGTTGTAGGTGTGTGTCACTGGGCATAGCCCATCATTCTTCTTAAAATGAAGCAGTGTGGGCCTTCCCATGATGTCCTTGACCCCTCTGGCTCCTACAATCCTTTCTCCTCCTCCTCTGCAGGATTCCTGAACTCTGCCTAATGTTTGGCTGTGGGTCTCTGCATCTACCTCCATCGGTTACTGGATGAAGCCTCTATGATGACAATTGGGCCAGGCACCAGTCTGGGCACAGGAGACAGCCAGTTCAGGCTACTTTACTTATCCACTATTGCTAGGAGTCTAACCTAGAGTCCTCCCCATAGACCTGGGAGATTCCCCTGTACCCTGACCCTGTAATAACTCCCCCCACCTCCCTACTGCCCCCACCCCACCGCCGCCACCACAGCAGCTCCCCCTCAGCATTCTCCCTCTAGGGGATCACAGAGACTGAACCAACAACCAGGGAGCCTGCATGAGACTGACCTAGGCCCTCTGCATAGATGTGACAGTTGTGTCGCTTGGTCCTCTTATGGGACTCCTAACAGCAGGAACAGGGGCTGGGTTGTCTCTGACTCTTTTACCGGCTTTTGGGACCCTACTCCTCATACTGGGTCACCTTGCCCAGCCTCAATGCATGGGGAGGTGCTTAGTCTTATTACAACTGGATATGCCATGTTTTATTGATACTCAGGAGACCTGCCCTTTCCTGGATGGAGATGAAGGGGAGGGTAGTAGGAGGGGGGTAGGGGAGAGGGATTGGGAGGGGAAGATGGGGGGAGGCTGTGGCTGGGATGTAAAATAAATAGATAAACCAAAAAAAAAAAAAAAATGCAGCAGTGAGCACAACTCCTAGAAGCCAAGATGGTTTTCGAACCCTGCACCAAAGCAAAATCTCTCCCTATCAGCGAAGAAACCGAAAGACAACCCGATTTAAACACGGGTGGAGCCAGTGGGGTAACTGTAGTTGCTGGGCAGCAAATGTAAATCACAGAGTAAAAGGCACCAAGGTTGGGGAGGTTGCTGAGAAGGTGCTCAGGAACACACAGGCGAGGATGTGAAATAGTGCAGCCCACTGCATCAAGTGAACACGGGACTGCAGTGAGCCCAATCTGGATCTATGGGGGGAGATGGGTTCAAGCAGACACGCGCACAGAACTTCACAACAGCCAAGAGGTGAAAACAACACACACACACACACACACACACACACACACACACACACACGCTTGTGCACAGTTGAGCGGAACAGAACCAGGACCATCCACACGCATGAAAAGGAACAGAACTCCGACACAGGCCGCAACATGAAACCATGAGAGGCTCACGCCAGGGGAGATAAGGTAGACACAGGGCCATAGGTGTGTGTGATTCCATTTAATAGGAAGTGTCCAGAGCAGGGAAACCCATTGAGACAGAAAGTGGGTAAGTGCTTGTCAGGGAAGCAAGGGAAGGTGAGGAAGAGCTGCTTGATGGGGGGGGATGGTAGGGGGGAACGTGGGACATGAATGACCCAAGTGGTACCACTGTGCAGACACTCAATTCACAGCCATGGGTCTCAGGTCACAGGAACTGCACCTTCATTAAAACCCACATGCTCCCATGCCGGGGACAGCACTGCCCCCGATGATGAGCACCAAGTGGGTCCAGGGTTTGCCCATCCCCATGCTGGAGTCTCCTCTAGGGAGGACACTTTCTGGAACCCTCAGTCTTGTTGCAATTGTACTCTGTGTCTATCTTCCCTGGCTGACATCCCTGTGACACCAGAGGACACCCATGTAAGCTACTCAGGCTCAGGAGTCATTTAGGAAGCTGAGTGTTAGGAGGAAGGCTGGGCCTCCGCGGCTGGTCTAAATAGCCACCTGTTGGTGCCACCTGCTGGACTTGGGCATGGAAACGGGTAGGTGTCTCTGAAAGCCCCAGCAGGGAGGGTGGAAGCCGGTCCCGACTTCCCGGCTCTATTTCCGGTTCTGCTCACGGGCTGCCACGAAGTTTAGCAGGTCAATGGCAGTGACAACCCCGAACACCATCTGCCGCTCGCTCGACAGGCCACTGCTGTGGTCTAAGGGAAGGAAACAGCTGCTGGATTACAGGTGAAGGGATACAGAGCTGATCCGAGGCCACGGCCTGTTGGAAGCAAGAGACTCCCCATCTCCAAGCAGGAACAAAGTATCAGCCACTGTGGCTCCAGCTGAGCCACATGGGCGGAGCCAGAGAGCAGTTCCTCTCACCAGCCTTAACATAGGATGCTGGGTGCTGTCTGGAACAAAGCCAGAAACCAACCCAGGCTCCCCAGAATGGACGAGCTGGCAGGTGCCTCCTCTCAGCCCATGCCCACAGGCCACGTGCAGTGTCAGGGCCTGGGCAAGCCTCAAGCCCCTTTCTGTCCAGGGTCCTGCCTGGCATCCAGGGCCTCTTCAGCTCAGCCCACCTGAGTCTGTCTGCAGACAGGTTTCTCAGACTGGAGCTTCCTGTCTGCTTGGGCCTGGCCCTGCACCAATGGCCTACAGGCAGAGAGGGCCATGGCAACAGTTTTCTATCCGTTTGACAGGATATAGGGAGCCCAGACTTCGGTCCACAGAGTGATCTAGGTGTAGGTGGGGCTTGCCCACACATGCAAGGGCCTGAGGGGCTTCCCACGAGTAGAAGTGTCCCTGGCCCGGGACTTTCCTTGGTTCACCGGTTTTAGGGTCTCTAGGCTGATGACTTGGCCTGTAGCCCTTGGCACATTGTGCACCTCCACAGTGCTGGGCCGGGCCTTCATGCCAGACCCTCCCTCTCCCCTGCAGATACATGTACTATCAGGCCTGTTCTCAGGAGAGCTGTCTGTGGTTGGCACAGTCCTTGGGAGGCTCAGCAGGCCGCCCAGTGTCTGAAGACAGAGGCCCCCCCTGGGAGAGACCCATCAGGGACAGGCATCTCAGTGGCCCTATCTAGAACCCCAGAAAAGGACAGGGAAACTCAAAAGAACTCCACTGCTGCATTTTGAAACCACTGAAGCTAAGGGACCACTTGATTGGCTCTGGGACGCCCACGGAGCAAGTGACAGAAGGCTCCAGTTAGGCTGGCTGGTTCCCACACAGGGTTTGATGAGGAACAGTTTAGGTTTGTGACAACACCCTGTCCTGTCACTCCAGCTGACCCTGAAGTGGGAATTCATGTTGTTGTTTTTTTTTTTGTTTTTGTTTTTGTTTTGTGTCTGAGATGTTCAAAGATCGGGAGTCCCCTCCACCCAACCCAACCTCGGGGGCCCGGGGCCCTAGATACCCTTGGAAGGGTGTGATTCTGAACATGAAGGCCACTTCCTAGGGGCCGGGATGGGTGGGGCGTACATACCTGTGGGCCCCCCCACCACTCCTGACCAGGCCTGGTCTCGTGCTGTAGAGCCAAGGACGGGAGAGGGGTTAGACATGGGGCCGCCCCCACATGCAGGCCAGCCTTGAGACTAGATATCAGGCCCTCCCAGTTCTTACGGATTGAGGAATGAAAATCAACACCCCTCACCCCACTGGGACCTGAGAGTGTCATCCCCACCTGCAGATGGTGACACTGGGAGGACTCTCGGAGAGCAGGAAGGACAGACTGATAGGCACAGAGACAAGTGTGGTTCACAAGCTGTCCTTTTAACAGACACCCAGAGCTGCGCTTCTGAGTACCCCCTGGAGCCCATCAGAACCAATCAGTATCTCCTGGTGGTATGTCCTCAAGGGCCAAGAATTCCAGCTGTCACAGGTTTCTCTGAGACAACCCCCAGCATCCTTAGAGAATGCCTACTGTCTCAGCCTGTGGGCCTAGGACAATGTCATGCTATCTACACAACGTGAGGGCTCCCTGGAGCATGATTCGGCCCTGTGTGTCCCTTGGGTACATGACCGGATTGACAGGCCCCTGGAGAGAGGTTCAAGATGTCAAAAGCTCTGGTGATAAGATGAGGACCACGGACTCCCCATCCCCCACTAGGGAGCATGCCCGCCTACTGCACAGAGCAGGAATGTGTACCATGAGAGCCTGGGCCAGGCGTGGCCAGTGGCCAGGGCTGAACGCCCTTGCCCCCAAACAAAAACCCGGCACCAAGTGGACCCTACTCACATTGGATCTGCTCATGGAGCACCAGGGCGAAGTGGTCCATCTCCAGGATGTGGGAGAGCATGCCCAGTGTGTCAGTCAGGTGGATCTGCAAGAGAAACTGTGTCCATGCTGGCCCTCAAGGACAGGGCCCCTTAGACTTGACCAAGGCAACAGGCACAACATTCGCCATAGCCGCTCAAATGAGTTTAGAGTAGAAAAAAGGCCCCAGAGCCTTAGAGCACTCTGTGTTGTAGCAACCTGCCTGAATAGCGGCTTGCCATTCGATTCTAACCCACGGCCTCTGCTTAGAGGCCAAACTAGTGGATGGACCACTGTTTGTGGGGCCTGTGAAGGAGAGACGGACCAAGAGTACAGAGTTTTTCCTGGGATGCACACAAGGTCGATGTGACAGGGTGACTTTCAATCAAAGTGACCTCAAACCCCCTAAGAAAGCTGTATAGTTTCCAAGAGGGGGTACAGATCGGGGACCCACTTCTGGCACAGCAAACACTAGGCCCTGCCTTGAAGGCCCAGCTTCCGCTCACATTCCCACTCCCCCCCTCCGGAAAACACTCATACCGGTTTGAACTGCTTGTAGAGGACTTTGCAGACTTCATCTGATGGCTGCACCTTCCCAGCAAGCAGGGATGACAGCATGTTGCCAAGAGTCACCATCCCTAGGATGGCCCTGGGAAGAGCATGGAATTTGGGGGGGAAGAAGAGGCAAGAGTCAGAGAGGAGTGTCTGGCCAACTCTGAAGGGCTCTAGCAGGCCTCAGCGTGGCAAACATGGCTCTGGCAGGCCTTGCCAAACAGAGTACATTCCTAAAGCTAGCCACCAAGGCCCATCCCTTTATTTGGCCACTGACTCATCCCTAAGACAAACCACCAACGTCCATCTATCCAAGTATTAAAGTCCAGCAATCAAATGCCCCCCTTTTGGCTCACCTAATTAACATGCCCAATCAAAATTAACCAACTCATCCTAACTCGGGGTTTCCCCCTTTCTCTTTAAAAACTGCCATTGGCCTATGGGCCATGTGTGTCTCCTCTCTATCCAGAGGCAGTCCTCGGTCCTGTTCTCCCCACTTCCCTTCCCCTTCCCCCTCATCCTCTGTCTCCCCCCCCTCTCTGTCTCTCAGACCCCCCCCCTGTCCCTCTGGGGCAAATAAATCTCCTTGTGCTGAGAACTTGGTCTTGGGGTGTCTTGTGCTGACTTCAAGGTCCTTTCAAACTTGACCCAGGAGCTGGAGAGATGCTCAGGGACCAAGAGCACTTGCTGCTCTTACAGAGGACCTGGGTTTGCTTCCCAGCTCCCACATGGCCGCTCACAAACATCTGTAACTCCGGTTCCAGACCTGATATCTTCTGACTGCCGCAGGCACTAGGTACACAGGTGGTGGACACACACACACACACACACACACACACACACACACAAATGCACATATATCAAAACAGTTGTAGGCATGCAAATAGAGTTGGAGCGGGGAGAACAGAGACGGACAAGTAAGCTTACAAGTCCTGTGGTGTTTATGTCCCCTCAGGGGTCTATGGTGACCAGCCATCAGACATAGGATGTTGGTCAACTGGACCTCCCTACCATACATTTCTCTGGGTGCCACCACCCAGGGTGCCTGTCACCTACTCCCTAGGGCAAGGGTGGGCAGACATACTACCAATGAACTGGGGGGACCGAAACATTAAGACCCCAAGAGTTAGTATGGTCTAGCCTCAGCTGCTCAAGGACAAGGCAGTCAGCAGGCTCTCTGCAGCTCCAGACACTGTATGCAAAGTGACCGCACTCAGCCTGTTGCTGCTCATCCCATTTGGTGACGTGGACACAGAGTCCTGGGCAGCAGGATCTAGGATCCTGGCACAGTCTAAAGTCAGAGCCCTGGACGTGGGTGAGGGTGAGACTGACCCTGACTTGTCGACCACGGGCGCCTGGTCGAAGCCTTTCTCCCGGAGGATGGTGATGGTGTGTTCACAGGTGACGGTGGGTAACACAGTCAGCGGTGCTGACAGGCTCAGCTCTTGAACACGCAGATGCCACCACCTGAAGGAGGGGGCAGAAAAAAAAAAAACAGCATGAAGCAGGGGATAGGGCCACGAGAGGACCACCATGGTGGGAAACCGGAAGGCTCCCTTTCCCACCCATCCAGGGATGACAGAGCCAGGCAGCATCCTTACCAGGGCCTCTTCACTGAGAGCTCCTCCTTCATGAAACCCTTCTGTAGCATCCACTTGTCACTCAGGAACTTGGACCTGCAGGGTCAGGGTGTCACTGAGGCCTCTCTGCCCAGTGGGAGGCACATACATGGTCAGGGGCGAGTTTCTGAGGGCCTTGCAACTACCTTGGGCCTTACTGTTTCAGCATGGGATGTAAGAATGGCAGAGCTCCAGGGAAGCTGAGAACTGAGGGTTACTGGGCATGTAGGCTGAAAGTCTCTGTGATCTGGACCCCTCTTACAGGTTCCTGAGCATCCTCCTCCTTGGACCCCCAGGTCTGCCTCAACAGAGCCTTTCCCATTCTGACCAAAGGCTGCCGAGCAGGCTACAGTGCTGTTAGGCTCTGTCCCAAGGAGGCGGGCTGAGGAGCAGCAGTACAGGACAGAGGTGGCCTCTACTCCAGCACCAATATGAAGTCCATACTCGTGTACTTGCATATAAAATGCTCCGGGCCTCTTGAGCACATGCACACATACCCACACAAAACAGAACCATGCACACACACACAAATGCACACACACAACAGGCCAACCATGTGCTGGGGAGATGGCTGGCCTCCTGGATTGCTTGTCAGCCTACCTGGAAGCCAGCGGGATGCCCATGCACCATGCCTGGCCGTGCCAAGCTGCCAAGCTCAACACAAACATCGCTCTATAGCTCACAGGCTGCGGAGGAAGGGCAAGAGATGGGGAACCCCTCTTGTTACCCATGAGGCTGGCGGCAGAGCAGCTCCCCCTAGTTCAGCCAGGAACCCAGGCAGTTGACAGGACTTCAAGCCTGCTGGTCACAGGTGGCCAGGCAGAGAGCTGGGACTGTCCTGAGGCTACTGAGCAAGCACATTAAGTCCTAGGAGAACCCAGCCGGGGCACACTCACCCTCCCAGATCCAGTTTAGGACGGCCGGTGAAAGAGCAGAGCTGGTGGGCGGGAAGCAAATTAGGATTTCCCCCCATGAAAACATCAGGACAGCTTGGCCCATGGCGCCCAGAGCCCCAGTGGGGGTAATGAAGACAAACTCAAGAGACCAGGACAGAGGGGTATATAAGGGACATAAATGTCCACCAGAGCTGTCGCCATGGACACACACACTCACACAGACACACACAGACACACATGCACGCACGCGCATGCGCGCGCGCGCGCGCGCGCGCGCACACACACACACACACACACACACACACACAGGCTCAGGATAGAGCCATACAAAGTGAACACTGGCTCTGAAGACACAGAGGATCCTGGGGCTAGCAAGCTAACAAGACCCAGCTGTCCGCTACCCTTCCCCGACATCCCACGGTCAGCGCTTCAGTGACAGCAGCCAGGAGGGCGACAGGGACCGGGGGTGTGTCTTACATGTAGTTCCGCACAGAGTCAGGCAGGATGACCACACAGCGCTGTCCTTCCTGCAACTCCTGGGCGGCCTTCACGGCCACAGCCATGGCACTGCCTGAACTTCCACCTGCCAAGAGGACCGTTAGACTTGCCCACATGCTTGTGTGTGCATCCACACATAAACACACGTGCATGTATAACCCACACACGTATGCCAGCACTCGAGAAGGACCCGTGGGAACCATTCAGGCGTGCATCTCACATACGTGCTCTGGAAGGGTTCATACATGCTCTGAAAGAATCTTTGGAATCTCTGGACAGAGAACAGGCCGTAAAGGACCCTATTCCTCTGCATTATCTTCCTCTTCATAGTCAACGGAGCTTGCATTTCATAATTAAACATCACTGAGGAATTGGGGAGACCCTGGGACAAATGAAGTAAATCATGCTCATCCAGAAGAGGGGGTCATGGTTCCCCAAGCTAAAGCCTGACCCCGAACCAAGAGCCAACCGAGGACAACATGTGTCTCACTGACTGCTCATAGCCACCATGCAAAGCAAGTAGGTGATATCAGGTCTCAGGTAATGAGAGTCCCAGGTTCACCGTGACACTGACCATAGAGGGCCCTGGCCCTGGGACCTCCAGAGAGAGCCAAAGACACTGTTGCTGCCTCTCCAGTTTGGGCTCCTCCAGACTCAGCCCAAGAAGGTGCAAGTCAGTCAGAAAGGTCACCCTGGTGCCTCTTACAGAGAACCATGGCCCTGCCTCTCATCTCTCGATGCCTGGGTTTATATCACTTACACTGAGTGCGGGGGTGGGGGTGAGGGGGTGGGAGGGAGTTGGGGGGGTATAAACTCACTGAGAGAACCCAAGCCACAAGTCTCCTCCTAGTGGCCATGTTGAAAATTTTTTTCAATCAACATGGCTTGTTCCTACTCCCCTAATAGTGCTTGGCTGTTGAGGACCTGACCATGTTGGGGCTGATTGCCTTCCCCTGTCCCGTTCCAACAAGACTCAGAGCAGATGGGGCCACGTTTATAGGGTGAGTTTGGGTACACTTGGTGTTCTCCAAATCTCAGGTCTAACTCAAGCTGCCAGGGCCTTTGCCACCCCATGGTCAGGCAATGGTGCCCTGTCCACCCTGATCAGGATGACTGAGGAGCCCAGTGTGGGAGGAAGGCTGCGGAGGTTGCTTCTGTGGAGGTTGTGCCTCAGCTGCACAGAAAACTATGAGGGCAAGAAGTACTGTCCCAGCTCCCTCTGGACTCCCTCGCCAACCCCTTCAGAGGACTGGGACCCAGCATGCCACAGCCTGGAGCTGCTGCAGATTGAGCCCCCGTTCCAGGGACAGGGCTGTTTAAAGTGAATGAGGGGAGAAAAACAAAAAACAAAAAACCACCACAAGAGCTTGCCTCAAACACTAGAAGGGCAGACTGAAGCCTGGGCCCTGGGCCTCATGCTCTCATCGCCACAGGTGACTCCAAGAGGCTGCAAAGGATAAGCAAACAGCTAAGGAAGGAAGAGCCTGGACAGACGGACAGGAAGGGAAGTGACTGCAGTCACACAGCCTCAGAATGCCCATGACTTCCATGCGTTTGGAGTAGGTAGCACACATCCCGGGCCGTCCCCTGCCACCCTGCCACCCTGCCATTCTGCCACCCTGCGGGGGGCTCCCCCAGCCACTCACCACACAGCAGTCCTTCCTGGGCGATGAGCATGCGGGCAAAGGCGAAGGACTCCTCGTCATTGCTCTTGAACCACTTATCCACCACCTGTGGCAAGAGCAGGTCACGGGCCTCAGCTCAGGTGGAGGGGCCCTGGAGGGGGTGGGGCAGGGCCACCCCACAGAAGCCTTCCTCCCCCTGGATTTGCAAACCTAGACGTCTTCACCCTCCCCTGATCCGTTATGCTTGGAGGAGTAACTCAGACAACCCACATCTTTACGGGGCTGGCGGCCTCTGCTAACAGTGGCCGTCCGTCCTTGTCCATCCTTGTCTGTCCTTCCCTTTGCATCTCAGAGCCTGTGTCCAGCAACGTCAGGCATGAATTTGGACATGCCTCAAGCCCCTGTAACCACACTCCCTATTCTGTCCCCTCAACACTTGGGTCAGCTAGAGTGCGAGAATGCAAAAGCAAGTCCAGGATCTGGCAGCGGCCTGTGGCTCTGCCTGGGGGGACACTTTGGCCCAACCTACCGCCCTGTCCAGGACTGTGGGGATGAAGTCATAGCCGATCCCTTCCACCTCGTAGGCTGTTTGCTCTGTCTGGTTCAGCTCCTCAGGCTCCGCAAGGATGGACCCTTCAGGATCTACACCAATGATCTGCAGGGTAGGTGGCTTTAGGGCCCAAGCCAGAGAGAAATCCAACCCACCCCTAGGCAGCCGCCACTAGAAAGGATATTTCCCGATAACATATGCCTGTTAATGGTCAGCTCACAGGCTGCATATGCTAATCCCAGATTAGAGGAAGGGAAGTCCTCCAGAATCTCAGGCAAGAAGCAGGGAGGCCACAACCTACTGGGGCTAATATCCAGCACTGGGTATTTAGAAAGATACTTCCAGGCCTGCTGTAGGAAGGGTCCCAGTCATGGGCATTTGGCGAGCCTTTGGGGACAAAGGATAGCTCTGGACACTGACATCTTCCTGGACTGTCTCCGGAGGGTGGGCAGTCTCATGGGGAGAAAATGACCCTGTTTCTTTGTGCCCTTCATCAAGCCTGGTCTTAACTCAGTGGTTCTCAACCTTCCTAATGCTGAAACCCTTTAATGCAGTTCCTCATGTTGTGGTGACCCCCAACCATAAAATTATTTTTGTTGCTACTCCATAATGGTAATTTTGCTACTGTTATGAATCGTAATGTAAATATGTGTTATGCAGGATATCTGATATGCAACCCCCAAGGTGGGGGGAGGTCATAATCTACAGGGTAAGAATTACTGCCCTAACTCAAGACAATCTGGGACTGTCTCTGGTGGCCTCTGGGCTAATCCAAAGGGCTTCACCTCACTCAGAATGGGAGCCCCCAGGACCCTGTGCTCCCCAAGTTCCTCCCGGGCAACTTGATACAACTCTTCAAGACAGCAGTGGGATGAGACAGGAATGTGGGAGGCAATCAGTTCCCAGGCAGAGGGGCCTCCCAGCCTGATGTCAACAGCACTGAGCCTCTAAACCCAGCTCAGGCCACAGGCAAGCGAGCAAGTCCAGGCCCACCCTCTCAGCCACCCCGTCTGCAGCAGCACCCCGCCCCCCATGGGGCCACACTCACTTTACAGCCAGGGCACTTCTCCTTCAGCTTCCTGGCGATACCTGTGATGGTGCCACCCGTGCCCGCTGAAGCCACCAGCATGTCCAGCTTCCCTGGGGGAGGGAGGACATTCTCAGGCCACGGCTCAGCCAGCCCTCCACTCTTTAATGACCATTGGTGGAAATACACTCAAGCCAAAGCAGGTCCGTGGGATAAACATCGCCCGTCACTGCCTCCATCTGTGGCCACCGTGCCCAAGGCAGAGGCTGCTGTCTGTCCTGTGACCTTGGCCTTTAAACCACCAATGTAGCTGAATCTGCAGGATGCGTCACAGCTGGGCAGCTAACAGTCTGGCAGAAGTAAGCTGTCAATGGTGTACCTTCCTAGGCTGTCTGATTCTTATATAAGAATCAAACTGGGTTTTTAGGATGCAGGGAAAATGCCCGAAGGCTGAGAACTGGCCCAGGCTCTCTCATACCACTGAGGGTCAGCTCAGCATCAGGCATGTCTGAGCTGGGCAAACTCAGGAATGAAGCAATGTGCACCAATTCTGCCAGATGAGAATTCTCGCCCATAAAACCAGGTTAGCAAACACCTGAGCTTTTATTGGCCAGTTCCTGGGCACCGAACAAGTCTGCACCCAGGCCAATGCCAATACCAGGTTCTAAGTGGGAAGCCAAGGGTGGGACCTTCCAGCACCTTCTCCCATGAGGCCCTGAGGGAGGTGACCCACCAGCCCCAGGAGCTAGGCACTCAGCATGTATACATGGTTCCAGGGAGCCTCATGCTGTACTAGAATAAGCTAGCTGCAGCTATCACTATACAGCTCCAGAGGTAAGAAAGACTGAAGGTCAAATTCAATGCCCCTAGCTGGGCATGTGGCTCACACCTTTAATCCCAGCACTCAGAGAAGGCAGGTGAATCTCTGAGTCTACAAAGCCAGTTCCAGGACAGCCAGGGCTACAGTGTTTCCGAAAGAAAGAAAGGAAGGAAGGAAGGAAGGAAGGAAGGAAGGAAGGAAAAGAAAAAACGCTCCAGTTAGATCTTGACCCCTAGCTGTGAGGCCAGCACCAGCATGCACTCAACAGCCCCTACAGCCTGGAGGACATGGGGGTGAACACACAGTCTGAACCATGTGTCTGGACACAGGGAGAGGCACCAGCAGAGGCCAAGAGGCCTCAGAGGAAGACTAATGTCTCCAGAAACTATTTCACAAAGACAGGTGTTTAAGCTGGGTTTACCAAAGAGAGGGTAAGCGACTTGTGCACTCCCCCAGGTAACCACATCTGACTGAGTGTGGTTGTTCTGTCAACTCTGCACAACCTAGAGTCTTGAGGGAAGAGAATCTGAATAAGGGACTGTTTAGATCAGGTTGGCCCATGGGCGTGTCTTTGAGGGACTGCCTTTTTTTTTCTTCTGGTTTTTCAAGACAAGGTTTCTTTGTGTAGCCCTGGGTGTCCTAGAACTAGCTCTCTAGACCAGGCTGGCCTCGAACTCACAGAGCTCCGCCTGGCTCTGCCTCCCGAGTGCTGGGATTAAAGGCGTGCGCCACCGCCGCCCGGCTTGAGGGACTGTCTTGATTATTTTAACTCATGTGGAAAGACCCAGCCACTGTAGGTGGCACCGTTGACTGTGCAGGAGGAAACCCTGGGCTGTCTAAGGGCAGGGGAAGTGAGCTGAGCACCAGGCATGTATGTATGCCTGCTCTTCAGTCGGCCCGGCAGTGTGGATGTCACGTGACCAGCCGCTTCACGTTCCCGCCTCCTTCACTTCTCCGAACCGGAACCTGGAACCGGGAGCTGAAACAAACCTTTCGCCCCTAAGTGGCTTTTCGTCCCCGTGTTTTATCACAGCAACAGAAACAAAACTAGAAGAAGAAAGGACTGCAGTCGAGGTGGGTGGAGGGGTGGGAAGCACCCACCGTCACACTGCTGCAGGATCTCCTCGGCCGTGTCATCGTAGTGCGCCAATGGGTTGCTGGCATTGCGGTACTGGGCGGAAGAAGAGAGGGGCTGTGAGCTGCCCGAAACCACCGGCACCATGCACGGACCCCCGGACAGTCAGCTCCGTGCGGGCCAACAAGTCCTACAGCAGCCTAGAGAACCTCACCTCGGGAACCTCCCATACAAGATATGAAAACCAGGGTCATCACGATGTGAAATAACCCAGCAGTGAAACGAACAGGGGACTAGGTCTTGGGGTGCAGGCTCTTGGACATTCTGCATCTTCAGAGCCCAGAGGGTCCTCTGGAAGGGATAACCCAGCCTCACTGCTGAACCAACACGGCTGGGTTCTGTCCAGTGGGACAGCCTTTCGACACTGGCACGGGGACAGCAGAAACCAAAGGTTCTGTCACTGAGCAGGGCCCTGGAGCACCTCCCCGGAGGGAGTACTGTCACCCTGCTCATGCTGGGCAGAGACCAATCTCCCAGTCTCCCAACAGGGCCCCACAAGAATCCCTGACCACAAATTTGCCTCCTGGAGGAGCAGGGGTGTGTGTAGGGGGGAAGACATGACATCTGACCTGGTCCAGAATGTGAGAATTGGGGATTTCGTTCTTCAGTCGCCAGGCCACTCCCACATGAGACTCGGGGGAATCGAACCTGGCGTTGGTGGGTGTCCTCACGATCTCAGCTCCCAGAGCCCGCAGCACATCCACCTGTGCAGGGAAAACCATGCCTTAATCACGGGGGCTGGTCCCTAGAAGGGAGAACACTCTGGAAGCCAAAGCGGATGCAGCAAAAGCCCATCAAGTCACACCCGCCCACAGGCCACGCCCCCAGTGGCCACGCCCTCCACCTAGCCCCACCCCCAGGCTGCCCTGAGCGCACCTTCTCCATACTCATCTTCTCTGGCATCACGATAATGCAGCGATAGCCCCTCACAGCAGCTGCCAGAGCCAGCCCGATCCCTGAGGGCCACATGCAGAGGGGGAGAGGGGTCAGTGCCCAAAGCCCTGTGCCTTCCTGCCTGTGCCCCTGCCCGGGACACCTGAGACAAGCCCGAGAGGCATGGAAGGACAAAGGGCCTTTGTTCTGGGGAGGAACCCCGCACTCTGATGGCGATCTTAGGAGATTTATTCTGGCAGCCAGGTACACAGATGTGCTTCTGGGAGGGAGGCTGCACAGAACAAGCTGGCCAAACTTTCCCTCTTGCCCTCCCTGGAGGTCTGTCTGCACAGGCCAGGGACTTTGAGCCTCTGCTCAGCACCAGCTGGCTCCACCCTCACCTGTGTTCCCAGAAGTCGGCTCAATGATTGTGTCCCCAGGCTTCAAGGTCCCAGCTCGCTCAGCATCCTCAATCATCCGAAGGCTAATGCGGTCCTTCACGCTCCCACCCGCATTGAAGAATTCACACTTGGCCACTGAAAGCCAAACATGAATCAGAGACGGGAGAGGAGGACTCTCCGGCCCCCACAGATTCCTGCCACCCTCAACAACCCAATACACCTCCAGGATGAGGGCCGGCCTGGGTGTTTGCCGTTCTGGGCATCTCTATACCCATTGCCCACCTCTGTACCTAGACACCCCTGGTCATAGCTGGCCTGTCTCCCACCTGCCCTGTAGACCCATGACAACACTAAATGAGAGGTAAGGACGGTCAAGAGCCCGTGGGCGGAAGGTTAGAAAACATGTCCCAGCAGAATGAATACAGGCAGTGAATGGCTGGATCCGAGCCCACACACCTCTGCCAAGGTAGCCAGTCCAAGCAGCCCCAGATGGACCACCTTAGTCCCGAAGCCCCTGCCAAAGTTGCCCCCAGCTCCTCCACTCTTGACTGTCTCTATCATCTGTGGTCAGTGAGTCCAGCCTTTGTGCTCAGCCCACCCCCACCTGACACCACCTCCATGCTGGCGGACCCTTCCTCGCTCTTTAGTCTCACCCCACCCCCACCTGACACCACCTCCATGCTGGCGGACCCTTCCTTGCTCTCTAGTCTCACCCCACCCCACCTCATAGGTGTTCCAGGGCTAGAGAAACGCCCTATGCCAGAACCATCTTCTTGGCTGGCTCTCAGTTCTGAAACCTACCGCAAACAGACTGCCCCCTCCCCAAGCTAGAAGAGATTCTGGGGGCACGGAGGGGCTTCGTTTGATGTCTGCTCCTTTGGCCCCATGACAGCCTCAGATCTGCAACACCCCCCCCCAACCCCCAGGCCAAGCCAACTTACCTCTTACGCACAGGCTATGACTGCCCACACCTCTGCTTGGGAACAGCTCCCTGCAAGCAACCCCTTCACCAATGACCTTCATTGACCTTGGACCTAATTCCCACTCTTTGTCCCATAATGGGCTGGGTGACCTGCCAGACTCCATGCAACTGGGAGGACACAGACAACGGCTTCCTCTGCAGTCAAGGCTGTCACTCAGCATAAGCTCCGCCCCCACATAGGACCCTCCACCCCAATCTCCTCATTGATGCTCTCTGCCTAATATGGTGGTAGCTCACGCTTTTAATCCTTGCACTCTGGAGGCAGAGGCAGGGCAATCTCTGTAATTCAAGGCCAGCCTGGTCTACATAGTGAATTCCAGGCCAGCAAGAACTATACAGTGGGGCTGGAGAGATGGCTCAGTGGTTAAGAGCACTGGCTGCTATTCCAGAGGACTCAGGTTCAATTCCCAGCACCCACATGGCAGCTCACAACTGTCTGTAAATCCAATTCCAGGAGATCTGACACCCTCACACCAATGCACATAAAATAAAATTAAATAAATTTTTTTAAAAAGGACTATACAGTGAAACCTTATCTCAAAAAAAGAAGATACACTCTCACAGTGCTCCAGCTTCACTTCTGCCTCCACCCAGGCGGTAACCTGCCCAGGCAGGCTCTTTCATCCAAGCTTCCCTGGCTATCAGTTAGAGAGAAGCTGTCTCAGTCACCAACAACACATCCTGCATCCCAGAAGACCCCAGTGCCGACACCCCCAGAGACACCCCCAGCCCCTCAGCTCCGGGTCACCCCGAGGCCCTGGTCCAGGATGCCTGAGGCAGCCCTAGCAGGGCCACACACTCACACAACTCGCACTTGAGTCCTGCATTCTTCGAGATCTTGTTGATTCTGACCATGGGGGTGTCCCCAATCTTCCACAGAATATCTGGCAAAATTTTTGGAGATTCTGTCCTAAAACAGAGAGAGGAGGCCGTTCAGGAAACAAAAGAGAATAAACAGCAGTTGGAGCCCGGACATCGTGGGCATTTCGGAAATGAAGAATCCAAGAAGTGCCTCGGGGAAGGACCTGGGTGGTGGAATGCCTGGCAGACCCACAGTGGCGTAGATAACACACA